GTTTAAATTACCGAAGCGAATATCTCGTTTAAGTTCGAAAACACGAGATTTTACGGACCTACATGTTTCACCCACATATTTTAAGTCACAGTTGTTGCATGAGATGTAATATGTTGGTTGCTGGTGTTATTTAATAAACTGCGGATAGTTCTAGTAGGTAATATTGTAGTTTTAATTTTTAGCGCATTTAAATTATTGGAGATACGTTCGGTCAAATGGTTATTTGGTAGAAAGATGCAACCAAGAGAATTATCAGGGGCACCTGAAAGTGTGCCTTTCACTGATGTAGTTGTAGTAGTGGCCTTCGAGGTGTCATTTTGCGCTGATGAATGAATTGCATAATTGCATATTAGGATTTTTGTTTGTTTTTCCGTATATTTTTCTTCATATATATATATATATATATATATATATATATATAAATAATCCAAAGTTCTTTTGTATTTTTGTTATTATTTTTTTAAAAAATAGTGCTCGATACAAAAGTAGAGCATAAATATAATTATTTATTTAAAAATATGATTCAACACGCTACATTTGAATAAATTGTTTTAAAACAAGCTCTGTTCCATAAAAATTTCAATATAAAGATGGAATTAGCTTACTTTAATTCAATTTAATTCAAATAATTATATTGAAGTTTTAGGCTCTTATTTTGAAACATGAGACCTCTTATGTAGCGTGTTTGAATCATATTTTTAAATAAAATAATATATATATATATATATATATATATATATATATATATATATATATAGAGAGAGAGAGAGAGAGAGAGAGAGAGTGTGTGTGTGTATTTGTATGTATTCTCGTGTGTTTCGGCATCAATATCTATATCTTTTATGTGTTCAATCCACTAATTATTGCCCTGTACTATTAGTCTATACGTTATCAATTCCTATTGTATTCAGACCGTCTTAATCTGTGCCTTGTAATCGCCTGTCATATCTCTTTGAGCATGCGTAGTGTCCAAACTACTAGGCCGCCCTTTGATACACTCATTTCGTTTATATCAACGTTCTTATACCAATTGTCTCATCGCTTACCACGACAACAACATTAGCGGATTGGGTGTGCGTTGATATCCTTGTGCGTTCAATGTGGCAGAAAATTAGACGCGCTTTGTATGGGTGTGTTAGAAATTATTAAAAAAAAAATCATTGTTGCTATTTTGCTATGAGAATGAAATAAACAGACAAAGAGGCTGGCTATTGACATATGTTCACCGGATAATTGCGTACATGTAGTCGTAAATACGGTCTTAAAAGAAAGATTAATGTATTAAGTATTGACAATATGCGCACAATTTGCAAGTCGTGTCTCATGACCAAGGCTAACGGTGGCACATTTCCGACATATTTAACTTATTACTGTATGAGGTCCCTTGAAATTTTTAGCTCTTTTTGTCCAATTTGCTTACCACTTAACTGCTCTTGTTTCCACGTCTTCCCTAACCTGAGATGAGTCATGGTTAAATAGTGTAGCTTCAAACAAAACCAAGCCTCTCTGAAAGTTTGAAAAGAAATTATTTATTGTAAAATGAACAGCAATACATTTGATAGCCGAATTACCAACAATATATTTTATAGCAAAATGACCAACCATATATTTTATCTGTAATTAAAAGCACACAGTTGCGTTCAAAATATATTTAGTTCAAGACATAAAAAACCTGTCCAAAATATTTTGGCATTAAATAACCCATAGAGATGTTGATATGCCGCTGAACAAAAATCAATCAACTAATCCAATATACTTTACCGGTTAATAATAATCTTAGGGCTAGCAGATTTAAAATCTTACGGAACTCTCTCTCTCTCTCTCTCTCTCTCTCTCTCTCTCTCTCTAAAGGAGGCAAGGTGGAGTAATGGATAGTGGCTCGGACTGAGGAATCGGAGAGCCGAGTTCGAATTCCAGTCAAAATTCATTACATTCACTTACGTGCTAATACCCTTGGGAAAGGTATGAATCCTCCTCTTCTTCTCCTCTCAGCTATGAGCAAATAGCAGGACTGACCGGGTTGGGTGGCAACTGGACTACTGCAGAAAGAAATGGCAACCTACTGCGGGAAAAAATCTGCATCATCAGTCATGTATCGAAAGATACTTGATCGCCTAAGCGTGTATTTGTTATATAGGAATAAAGTGTCGCTGCCGACACTTGAATTTGAACATTGATATCCAGTGAGTAAAGAAAGGCGATGCCATTATTGATTTAAGTCGATCACGTGGCCATAGAGGAAAGGCATATATGTAGGAAGTAGCTGACGACTAACGTTCACATTTTCTAGTCTATCCTCTATACTATATGCATCTGCACTTCTATTTTATCCTCTATTACGATACGGTTCGCTATTCTCTATACTATTCCTCTATACTGATCACTATACGGATAACTATTCTATCAAGTGCTATCGAGCAAGTACTGTTAGTGTGAATGTTATTCGAAGGCGTATGACAGCAGTATTGTTCAACGGCGTTACTGTAGTTATATTTGCGATTACAAAGTCTCTACTACAACGAAAGTGACAACGAGTATTAATTGATATTACACTAGTGTCAAACGAGTGTTCGTAGACATCACAAAAGCCTTGAAGGTTGATATGAAGAATACATGTACTGCCTTGCCATATGGAGCCAACCAAGTAAGTTTTTTTTTTACTGTACGTATTCTATTTTATTCTGTTGACTCTCGTTCAAACTGGATTCGTATTTACGGATTATCACCCCATTGCAGGTTATTTAAAGTCAGAAAATATTTTTACATTGTAAGACTTTTTAGACAATAATAGTTTTAGTGATATGTTTTACTAATTAACCCACAGCTGGGGAGCAGATATAGGTGGATCATACCTTTCCCAAGGGTATTTACGCGTAAGTGAATGTAAAGAAACCAGATGAAATTAGAAATCGGTTCTTCGATTAATAATTCCATGCCATTATCCATCCCACCACCCAAACATCCAGCACCTAAGTACTGACCAGGCTTACAGTACCTAAGTACTGACCAGGCTCGATGTTGCTTAACTTTGGTGATCATACGGAAACCGCTGTTTCAACGTCATGTGGCCGTACTCCTGGATCTGTCTACTGTTTAGCAAAACGATAGAATTCGGAATTAAATAATGTGGAAAAAGTCGATATACTCTCAAACAGACGAAATCAAAATAATCCATACTAGTACTTGTAAAATCAAATTCCAAATTTATTTGGAAGCAGTTAATAAAAGGGAATCGTTTAATGAATAAAAACTTTTTTACACAGTCTTGTCTTTTAGCAAGACTCGAACACTGACGTCTAGGTTCAAGAGAAAATGAAAAGTCGAATCCCTTTTAATTCCATTTATCGTGGCTTTCAGTGTACTCTAAAAGATATAAATCAACAAGCTTTCCAAAACTTTCGATTTTTTATACTAGATCATTTGATTTGTAAGAAAGCACCCCGCATGACAAAACGGCAAATCCATCTCAATATCTGGGGAGAAGTGAGCTTCAAGAAAACTAAAACATTGCCAGAATTTTTTTTCCTAGCCTCATAATCAATCGAACACTTGTCAAGTCAAGGTATTCACTCAATATAAATATCTATGCGGTGATATTGTTTTCATTATTTTTCCTATTTGTTCTGCTATCTCGATTAAGCCTTCCTTCATTTTCTTTTTCTACAGACAAAAATTAACGAAAAATAAATAAATAAACCATTTACTCCCCCTCTTTTCGTCTCCGCGCCTCGGTGATACAGAGACGGACAAACTGACATGTCGGCTTATTGGTTTTTCTTATTGATCAGACAAGCGGCTGTAAACGGTTTGGGTGTTAGTCGTCTCAATCTAAACCTTTCTTCGTTGCGTAGTTTATAGAGACACGACCAAATTACTTCTTCGACTTTCTCATTTACAGTTATTTACAGATGTCATTTTTTTTTTATTTCCTTTCCCGTTTTTGTTCTCATCTCCTTCACTGAAGTGTGCTTGTGGCTTCTGAAAGTCGACACTAGATACTGTCGAACTTGAAAAAGAAAAAGGCGTTGCAGTGTAATAGACGGGAAGGAGAAACGTAATGTGATTGCTTTAGATGCAAGCTTGTGGAATCAGGAAGCGTCCTATAGGCGCTGAGATGACCTCCGGCTTAGTAAAGAAAGGGCAAATCAGTACCGTTCAGATCACTTCTTATCGCGCCGAATGGAAAAATAAAGAAAGCTTGAAATGTTCCATGCGCCGTACACAAAGCTAGGAAGTTGATATTCTTCTAAAAAAAAGGCCAAAATAAATTTTATCTATTGCAATCTTGTAAAACGTGTTCTTTATGTAAAATATAATGAACTAAACCATATGCCACCTTCTTCTTTTTCTTCTACTTCTTCTTAACAAGACATATTTAAGAGGTATAGTTTAAAACACCGAATAAGCTCCCTGAGGACCTCATGGAAATGCTTGATGTTGTAGAACAATCATGTTGTCAAGATAAACACTCAGTTTTGGAACAAGCTGAGAAACGGCCCATCCACCTTGATGAAAGAGAGCTATTTATGGTGTCATGGAGCATCTCATTGTGCTCATTGTCCATTGCTTGGGCTGTGATTGGCTGCTGGTACATGAGTGTAGGTATTTCTGTATAAATACCAGCTTGATTCCAGTCAATTTGCGGGGTTTGTATTGAGTTACAACCTGCTTTATTTTTATCTGCCAGCTGGACGCTAACTGGGACCCTTACGCCGGTAAGTGTTGTTATTCTATTGTTATTCTACAGATTTATTGATTCGTTTTCTACGTCGTCTCAAACATTTGCAAGCTATTTAAATCCAGAAAATATTTTTTTGATTCTAAGAAATAAATTTCTAAAAATCGTTAAGTAATGCAAGTTTTACTAATTTACTAGCTGGGGGAATATGTGGTTTCACACCTTTCCCAAATGAATATAACTAACACAACGGGAAATGGAACTCGACTCTGTGATTAACAATTCCGAGTCCGTATACATTACACCATCCGTGCATCTAAACTTACAGTACTTGCTATTCTCAAACCGTCAGCCATATAGATACTGACCAGGCTCAACGTTGCTTAACTTTGGTGATCGTACGGAAAACGGTGTTTCAACTTGATGTGGCCGTAAGTAGTTGGCAGAATTGAGATTCTGAGATATGACAAAAGGACAAACGTTACTAAAGGACTACAAAGGACAAGGCGTTCTTGAGAACCATGAGTCCACGTTTTGGACAGACACAGCATATAAAAGAAGTAGTATATGGCTGTTTATTTACTTGTTGTGTATAACACGCAAATGCGAAAATAGTTTTGTCGTTTTAAGAAAGAAGACAGAATATATGAAACAATCCAACATGAGAATTACAAGTCGGAAATACAGAAATCAAACAAAAAAAATTTAAATATTTTAAATTTTTTTTTAAATATTTTTTATGTGTTTTAAAAAACTACAGAAAACACGTCATCGTAATCGATAAACGCATTGAAAAAAGCTAAGGAAAACACAGACAAACCTCTCATCAACGGACTAATAGGGGGTGGGGGGTTGTTTGTTAAATACGATTGTCTGTAGATGGGAGGGGATTATTTTTGGGTTATAAAACCATTGTAGTAACTACCAGTAGTTAGGATTATAATGTAAATGATATTAATATGTATATATGTCATAATTAAATATATAATTAATGCTTTCTCACTCACGTATCGTACTTTCCGTCTTCGAAAGGCCCGCCACCAAGCGATAATTTGGAGAACTAATACGACTCGTTTCGCTAAGTCCGCAATTTTTGAAATACATCGGTGACGATTTGGATTATTTTTTTCATGCAGAATTTTTTTTTTTTTTTTTTCCTGCAGATTTTGTCTTTTGCATCCGAAGTCCGTTGATAGGTGAGGTGGTCTGTAGATGAGAGGTTTGTCTGTATTAACAAACTGGGCAATTTCGTTAGAAACAAAGAAATACGTACTGAACTGTTACGTAATATTGGCGCTCCTATATGGCAGAGAAAGCTTGGCAATCTCTTCACAGGTGAGGAAGAGACTTGAAGCAATAAGAAATGTGGCCCGACACAAGGATGCTGAGGATAGCGTGAGGATAGAAGTTTTAGAGGAGATGGAAACAAAAAGGACATTTATACGTAGCATCCGAAAGAGACAGTACAAGTTTCTCCGTCACATAATGAGAAAAAGAGGATTTAGAAATTTTGATATTCACAGGACAGATTGATGCCAAAAGGAATCATAGTACGGAACCTACCAAACGAGATTGTGTAACTGACTGGCGGAACAAGGATCAAAAGAGATAGCAAAAATACAAATTTACAAAGGGCAAGAAATTTTGAAAAACCATGATCGCTTACGCCCTAAAGGTATATGGAGGAGGAGGAGGAGGAGGAGGAGGAATAATAATAATAATAATAATAATGTGGGATGTAATTAATGTGATGGGAATACTGATGGAGAGCCAAAATTGTACTTTATATATTGTTTTGAAAGAAAATTGTGAAGAGCCATGATCGCCCACCTCCTAAAAGAAACAGGGTACAAAGAAAAAGAAAAAGAATTTTAATAATTTGAGAACGCAGTTAACGTGATGGGAATGCTGAAGGACAGCCCGAAATAGTACTTTATAGATTGTTTTGAAAGGAAATTGTGGAGACCCATGATCACCCACGTCCTAAAATGACACGGCACATAGAAAAAGTTTTGCTTAACGCTTTTGCTTCAATCATTGTCATATTAAGAAAATATTCGTTACCTTATCACTATCTATGCTTAGAAGGTAACGATTGACGCCATTACAATATTGCTGTCGTAATCGACAATCGATAGGCTGCAGTATCCACCTACGGTTTTATTTCTTTTAGCTTTAACTTTCACTATCGTGTCAAGGCCTTAGACAAATTTGCAGCTATTTCTGTAAGCCAATCTTTAAGTGATCAATTGTAAGTGCGCAATGATAACTTAATAATATAATACTAGGCGATTGCATCTTCCAATGAGGTTTCATCTCGATGGTTTCATAAGACGGCCAGACTAATAGTGTTATCAACTCGAGACGATTAATTATTTGAGTAGAAATTGGACTTGAAGATGCAGGACCCCAGTTTAAACTGAGTTTGCTATAACTAAAAGCTGTGATCAGAGACCCACTCATTTTTACTCCACTTTAAACACTTTCGCTACACGTTGGATAATCATACTTATTATAAAACCCAGGTTGTGTGTGTGTCTGTTCGTTTATATATTGGATCGGATTTCCTACATTTTTCAACCGATTTCAACAAAACTTCACAGGACTCCGTAAAATTACCTGACGGCGCCAAAAATTGGGAAAACACAATTGTTTTTGCACGATATCAATTTGAAAACACGATTAAGAGGCATCGCTGTCACGAGAATGAAAGGGGGACAACTCATATCGAGTTATACTTATTATAAAACCCAGGTTCTTTGTGTGTGTGTGTGTGTGTGTGTGTGTGTGTGTGTGTGTGTGTGTGTGTGTGTGTGTGTGTGTTCGTTTATATATGGGATCGGATTTCCTACATTTTTCAACCGATTTCAACAAAACTTCACTTTTTTTTGGTAGGTAGTGTTTCTTATTGTCTTGCACACTTTTTCTTTATTTTTACATTCAGAATGCTTTAAAAATTCCATTTACAAGACAATTGTTTATAATAAAACTCAATTCAATCGGTAGACTCATAACGATTGAAAACAATGTTTTTGTTTGAGTTTGGGTTTGACCAATTCGTAAAAAAACACACAAACAAACAAAAAACAAAACAAAAAACTAATTAAGACATGCGTGTCCGTCAACCTTAAACAATAATCTTTGTCAATTTTATTTTTCAGTCTTAATGATGGTCGATACTTGATCTATCTCTTACTCTTACATCCCCGGGCAAAGCCGGGCTCTACTACAAGTATTTAATATACGAAAACATTTGGCGAAACCAGACTAGTCTAGCTGAATAATTTATTCGTGTAATAAGCCTGATCATCCAGGATTCTCGTTGCGGCCTTCAGATAACAGTCCCCATAGACGCTTCGACGTGGTGTGATCTTCAGCAAGTCTGTCTCGCTAGACCAGTTATTATGTTCTTCAATGGGTGCGCCATATTTGCGCGTTTGTACAATAACTGATCCATGTTTCGTAAAATAGGGCACATCGTCGTGCAGTAATGTCTTCCAATACTCTCGCGAGATGAATTCCGACTGAATACTGAGATCGATCCTTACCTGGGGCTTCATACTCGCAGCCTTTTGTCACATCTCAGCTATGCTTAGTAAAATAAAGTCCTTCGTTGTGGTGTAATCATTAGAAAACTTGTCTCGCCGGAGCAGTTACGACTGAGTATTTATTTCGATCGCTACTGGGTGGGGGGCTCCTTACTTTAGGCCTTGTGAAACAACAAATCAGGTCATTTAGTCGTGGTGTAGTGGTTAGCAAGCTACACTCGCAGATAAATTATAACTGAGTAGATAATTTGATCCTCTTTGGGGACTCTAGAATTATAGCTTTGTGTCAAATCTAAACTCCATTGAGTAAATAAGAAACCACAAAATGTTAGACTGTCGGTTCGTTCATGAAATCCTTGATCTGTCATCGACCCCACAGTATCATGATTACTTTTAGAAATTCCTTTTCCATTTTTCTTCATTATTTTACTTAATACTATTCATTTCAGATTTATGATTTGTCATAATTTTTTCAATCTTTATTTGCCTTCTGATACTACACTTCGTGCCAAATTATTATCGAGATAACTTTTTTTTAATGTTTCAAAAACCGTCCAATCAATTCTCACACAAATGTTGGCACCACTGACCTGCGCAATCACTGAAATTTTCGTACTGATCTGCACAATGTAAACAAACTGGCGTCATATTTGTTATCAGCACGGTGATTTGAGCGTGCCAAATTATTATAAAGGTTTAGTAAATTTCCCAGAATTGAGCCAACAAAACGTTTATTAATGTTGCACGTGAATGTTTATGATCAAAAGAAGCTAATAAATAAGATAATCAAACAAATAATAACAGATACAAACAAAGGCACCGTTTTAAACAAATTAATAGGGAATGTGCTTTCCCTGTTTTGAAATTACTTGAAGAAGTCGACGATAACAAATATGGCGCCAGTTTGTTTACATTGTGCAGATCAGTACGAAAATTTCAGTGATTCCGCAGGTCAGTATTGCCAACATTGTGTGAAAATTTTGTGTGAATTGATTGGACGGTTTTTGAAAAAGGTTATCTCAATAATAATTTGGCACGCAGTGTAGACGTGTTTTTTTTTTTTTTGAATAATTATAAAAAAATTATAAGGAGCTGCAAATCGAAGTAACAAAAATATACAAACTTAAAACTCCGATTATATCTGTTGTGACAGCAGTATTGGGTATAACAGACGATATCGAAAATCATGTGATTAAAATACTTGAACATATCAGAAACCTCAGAGCTACAAAAGATTACTTTGTGCGGAACTGCACATATCCGCAAAAAAACTCTCAAATATATACCAACTAGCAGCATGGCCCGACGTTGCCCGTGCTTGATTTAAAAATAGTACGACTCATACAGCAATCGCTATCACTTGATTTAAAATATTTTTGCCCTTCCTTGCCTTTAAAGAAGTGCCCTTAGCCGTGCTGATGTTGCTACATGCCTTACTCCTTGCCTATCTCACACTGCGAATTTTTTCTAAACTCTATACTAAACATTAAATCTGTTACTAAAAAAGAACTAAAAAAAACGAACACAAAACGATCAGCTTTAAAAAAAGGACTCGTAACTGGAAAAACCGAATGAAAAAAGAATGTTAACAAAAAATACTTTTTCACACCCAACCCAGTTCTGCGGAATCAGAATCAACGTTGAGTTTAAACAAGCAAATGAGCCAATTGGAGTAAAGCGCCATGCAGATTTAAATTTTTCCCCACTTGTGACTAATGCAGCTTTCGATTTTTTTTGCATGCTAGTTAACATTCGTGTCAGTCAGCTGTTGGCTCTCACGCTGACCAATAGAATCTTCCTGCTTATTCGTGGCAGCCAGCTATAGGCTCTCACTCTGGCCAGTAGAAAATGGCTGCAAACTACATGAAAACTGCTGTAGAAGCATGA